GCACACAGCTCTAAATCTACCCGTGCCATGGTTTACGGACCATGGTATTTCTGTTCTAAATTGGCCAGCCACCCCACTGACCTTAGCCCCACAGAAAATCTGTGGGGTATTGTAAAAAGGAAGATGCAGAATGCCAGACCCAAAAACGCAGAAGAGTTGAAGGCCACTATCAGAGCAACCTGGGCTCTCATAACACCTGAGCAGTGCCAGAAACTCATCGATTCCATGCCACGCTGCATTTATGCAGTAATTGAGGCAAAAGGAGCTCCAACCAAGTATTGAGTATTGTACATGCTCATATTTTTATTTTCATACTTTTCAGTTGGCCAACATTTCTAAAAATCCCTTTTTTGTATTAGCCTTAAGTAATATTCTAATTTCTGGCTTTTACCTGTATAAGATTAATATCTTTCTAACAAATTGATATTTTCTTAATAATCACTTCTAAAATGTCTTTATAGATTCAAAAATCAAATGCAAAAAAGTCACTTTTATTACTTTCTTTCATATCATTTAAGTTCCAAAGGGCTCCTCTATTCATCAGTTATCAACAGAGCAGAGAAAATAAGTCTTTCTTAAACCAAACACCAGTGAACAAAGATGTACAGACTTTCAGACAGCTGCCATGATGATGATGATGAGATGCAACAAACACTTTCTGATCTTTCAAATTTTGTTGTTATAATTTTTAAATCATACATTTTTAATGTTTTTAATTTTAAGATTTTCAATCCCTATTTATGACATGAATTATATTTTTATTTAATAACACAATCCTTACTATTCACCAGAGGGCAGTGTCGCCCAATCGATACATCAACCTCCTCTTATTTTAGAGAACCACTAAATAATGCACCAACAGTCTATCCTAATCTATGATGAACTTAGGTTTAAGGTTATCTTTTAACTCTAAAACAAGTTTTTTTCTGACTGAGAGTAATATCTGTACTGTAATATTTGTGGAGAAACTCATCCAGTCCTTACCTTAATTAGCTTTCCTTATCTGTCTTGCGTTGATGCTTTGTGGAGCCTCTCTTAATTTCCATATCCTCCAAAAACTGGAAAATATGGATCTAGTCAGTTGGTCTCTCAGCATCACTAATCACATTTACATCATATTTTCAACAGCAAAAACCCATAAATCAAAGACAGCTTTATTCCAAGCAGTTTATATCCAAGCTTGTAGGAGTGGCTCAGGTTATCCTGAGCTATCTCTATAGTTATGCTGCTATAGGCTTAGACTGGTTGACAAAGGGACCCCTTTTCCATCATTCTGCTTCATTCTATCTCTTCTCTCACATTCTTATGAATTTGTTTCTCCAGTCTCTTACATTATGTTTTCTTAGCTTTTTCTCATAGTAGCTTCATCTGATGTTGGGATCCTGAGGCTTGCCCACCTAAGGGCGCCGAGGATCCCTTCCTGGGGATTTTTGTGTTATTGTTGGGATCTGGGGTTCTGTCTACCTTTTCTCCACCAGAGGGCGTACTGGATCTCCTGAGGCTGGAGCTGACTTCACCAGCTGTTCTTCATCTGCTCATCAGGAGACCAGCATTTTAGTGGGCTGAGGACCACACTCCAGTGCCAGAGTGTTAGTCAGTCACGGTACAGCAAACCCTGAGCCAACCTGCCTGTCTAGTCTCCTGACTACTAAAACCAGAACCTGAACCTGATCCATTTTTGTCTTCTCTGCTTCCCAGGTTGAACCTGCCTGCAACCAGAAACCCCCTAAAGAGTTTTCTCTGTTAGAAATCGGTCTGCCTGATCTCATTAGAACCCTGGAGAACCAAACCTGTCAAGGATCTGTCAGCCAGCCCCCAGAAGGACCTGGAAGGGAAACTGAAACTGAAACCAGGTGATCTACCAGCTCTACCAAACTCAGCTCCAACCTCAGCCCTCTGCCTGCCGTCAGCCTCTGAACCCTCCTTGCTCCCTTCTTCTGCCTGCTCAGCTCAAACCTCAGCCCTCACCCTGCCGTCTGCCTCTGGACGCCCCTGGTTCCCCTTTCTGCCGCTCAGCACAAACCTCTGAACAGTGAATCCAGTCGTGACCAGCCCCTGGACCTGATTACCCATCTGACCTGTTTTTGTATGCACTCTTTATTAAAACCTTTGAACTTTTTCCCTGCCTCCTGGTTGTGTTCTGCATATGGGCTAGCATCCAGAAACCCATTATGATATCTGATATGTTCCTGTTTGGCTGTGACACCATACTGGAGAGAAATAACAGCTGTTCTGCTGCCATCAAGACCTTTGTTTATAGATGTTCCAGCTTGGCCTGTTTTTCAGTGTAGTGCTGTTTCTCTGACTGTGACCTACTAGATGTGCTCTCTTTCATCCTCTGACATGGGAGCTGGTTCGGTGCTCATCTGCCTGTGTTTCCTGGATGGGGTCACCTGTAGAGCTAATTGGGTATCTCTTCAGTTCTTTCTGTATGTCTGCTCCTGTCTCCTCAAGGGTCTGCTTGAACCCTTGAACACAGTGTCTTGAGATGTGTTGAGATTGTTGTGATTTTGTGCTATACAAATAAACAAAATTAAGCATTGATATTACCTTAAAGATAATCCAACTCAGGAAAAGTAAAACATTTTTTTCCTTCTTCAGGGCAAAAAAATAACAATATGTTTTTTTTGCCAGGCAAGAACAAATTTGTTTATTTAAAACAATACATCTTAAAAAACAACAATTGTTTTTTTCTAACAATTTACTTCGATCTTTGTAAACCAAAACTTTTAACATATACTCAAGGATTTTTATATGAGAAGAAAGTTTCATTTTAAAAGGAGGATGAAACATAAATCTGTGATTGAAAAGACTGTAGATGGAAAACCTTTTAAATCCTAAAGTTAAATGATGCAGGAAAGACAGATTTATCTTCTATGTTGACTTCCTGTTGACTGAATGTAGAAGGTGAAAAGGATCATACTTAAAGACGGCTACAGTTCTAATGACCCAAAAAGGTTCTAAGGCATATAAACATCTTCCTTCAGGGTAAATTATGTACAGGAAATGTGGGATGAAGAATTACTTTTTTCAAGGTTTTTCCAGGCAAAACAAGGGTCAAACATATAAAAGCACAATAAAATACAAGCACCTGTGCATGTCCAATGTTGAGGTTTAGTCTACAGAGTGATGTCATAAAGATAATACTTTAGATAACATCTTGTGTGGAGGAAAGTGTCTCCATGGTGATTGGCTGACTGGGTGAAACCCCTGATAAAAACACACCAATTTGTTTACCTGATCTAATCTCTTAATGATTAAGAGGATATAAAAAAGTAATCTTTAAAATAAATCAAAACGATAATGCTTTCCTTTGATTGATACAAACAACTAACAGTTCAAAAATAAAATAGCTGAAAAACTGCTTAATTTGCTCTGGACCACAGGTCTAATAACGTAAACATGGCCGTTGTTTTCCCCCCAGGATATTCCAGGAGATCATTGAACCGGACTCAAGCCTGGAAAAGGTTTTATCTGTTAGAACATGAAACTCTGACAGACAACATCAAGCCACCTTAAATGTGACGTCTTGATTTAAATATGTAAAATACAGAAATAAACATCTGTATCCATTTAATCAACAGAAGCTGGTGTAGGTAAACCATAGAAACATTTATACATTAAAAAATTAAAAACTTCAAAACTAGCGTGCTGTTCCTTAGTTATTTTTACAGCCTTTTTGATTATTTATAAATCTGTCATTCCATCTGGGATAGCGAATAACAGTTTAATTCCTTTACTGCCTGTAAAAAGAGTAGGTATAAATAAACATTTTATGGCCTTTCATCATGACACCATGTACAACACCTGTGCACAAAAAAAATCCTTCATTCCTGCCAGAAACTATTCTCATCTGCATCCACCTGCAGTCTCTTCTGTAAACCCTTTTCTCATTCAAATAGAGGATGATAGGACTTGATGCACCTCCTCCTGTGAGATGTATGGGGACATGGAAAGTCCTTCCATTAAGTCTTCCCTGTCTCGTGGGAAAGTCATTTCCATGGCGATCTAAATGCAGCTCTAACAGCTTGGAGCCTTCTTCCTTAAACATGCAGTGATAGCAGCCTTAACTTTTGGTCACGTTTCCTCCACTGTGAAAGCCTTCAGTAGGTGGGGGGTCTCCTCGCAGGGCTCCTGAGGATCTGGGATCATTGTGGTCTGGAAGTCAAAGTTTTCTCTCTGCTTGGACACAGATCAGGAAAAAAAACTGGTTCAAAACTTGAACATTAGTCCTTATTAACATACAGCTGGAAATCCTAATAGTCTGGTAAAGAAGAGCTTTCTACTCCATTTACAGAAACTGCAGTGCATTGCCCACTGCTTAATCATTGTTCTGGTTTTACTAAATAGGTTGCACCAAATAAAATCAGGAGTTATTTTCTCATTAAGTTTAGCTAATGGAAGCAAATAGATATTTTTACAAACCATAATTTTTCTCTCTTCACATCAACAGCAGAGGGAGACAAAGAAAAGGTTTATATTAACTGTGTCAGAGCAGAGGAATAAGTGTTGGGAATTATCTTTTATAGTGGAAATTTTAGCATTGTTTAAATGTAAAGTATTCAAAACATTGCTCAGTTTACATAAATGTAACAATATTTTAGTCAGCCTCTAGTCTAAAGCTCATTAAGCAAAACATAGATTATTTTGGGTGTCTCTGTTTTATAGTCCAAACACACCTTGTTTATTTAAATAATCAGGGGTCATTTTTATCAAGCATCTTAGCGTTATTATTAAGATCGATCTTAAAAGTGATCTCATGAACAAAAAAATGATAAGAAATTATTTATCAAGAAACTTGCTCACATTTTTGGCTGTGTCAAATTGTCTACCCTAACCCCTAACCCTTCAATACCCATCTGGAGCAGGGACTATATAGAGGACTTCATAGTGAACTCAGTAAACGAAACACTGGGACAGATGATCACTACTTTTCACTCTATGTTGATCACCTGTGGCTCCCCACATGGTGCCTGCAACATCTTTGTTCTTTTTTCGCCCCAAAACCAGTCCCATAATTTTTGACAAGGAGAGCTCTTGCAAAGCATTCCGCGATATATCTGCTCATTTAGTGAACACTGATGTACACTACTTTTCATGGTGCATGATGGGAACTTTTGAGTCCACTACTTTTTCATCCAGACACCCATATAAAATTATAATAATGACCCCAACCCCTATACAGAGCACTATATAGGGGTTAGGGAGGGTGTTCGGACACAGCTTAAGTGTGATTTTAGGAGCGGGTTACAACAGCATCTGCTGGATGATGAAACTTCTAAGTCTATTAAATTTAATTGAATTTTTTTTTTTTTTTTTTCGGATTTACTTTTTTTAATCTACATTAATCTCACGGTAATCTTGGAATTGATCTAGATGACTTCATGAATCAGAATAAGAACTACTTTTATTAATCACTTACGGGAATTCTTTTTCTTGCAGTGCAAACTTTTACAGAACAGAGAAAAATAAGATTGTATGTACAAATAAGATATAATAATAAAAAAGATAAGGGTGAAAATAAAATAAGATAAGGATATGCCTGTGCTACCAAAATATTAAGTAAAAGTAAGTCTTTGAACAGATTTCTTTAGCCAGGTAGTGCGTTAGACCAGGGGCTCATCACCTATTTCCAAAATGCATCACAAACTGCTGGAAGCTTTTATACTATAATAACTGGTGATGAAAATAAATAATATTCAATAAGATGTATTTGTGTGTTTATCTAGATAAACATGAATTCTGAATTGTAGGCCTACATAACTGGTCATGATAAACTATTTACAGCCAGTAGCTTTGTGTCAGTCAGTCCAAGCTCTATTTCTCCTTTTTCCACCAGTCAATCAAACAGACATTGTAATGTCCTGTGAGGCTGGATTAGCTGCAATGGCTTCTGGTCAAGATGGGCAAAGCATCAACATTATGTTGTTGCAGTTTATAAGTGCTAATCTCTTCATTATCACCATCAGAAGAATGTTTAACCAGGAGCATATAACGGTATAAGCGTTTCATTATTTTTTTGTATTGCGGAAAGAGCTTTACGATAGGGGTATCAGGGCCAGGCAAGAGATTTGTTGAAGAGAATGAAGTCGTAACACTATTAGAATTAAGTCATAAAATTAGGAGAATAATGTCGTAAAATTATGAGAGTAAAGTGTTAAATTATGAGAGTAAAATCTTAATATTATGACAATAAAGTCCTAATATTATGAGAATAAAGTTGTATTTTATTACAATTCTTATAAGAAGCACTTTCTTACCTAAAATGAGCAAATTTGAGCATCATATGAAGTTATACTTTGGCTTTGGTGTGACAAATAAGGAAATCTTTTAGGACCAACATTAAATCAGGCAGTTTGTCGAAGAGGACTCTGTTGCTGGTTGCTGTTTGGTGATGCTGGTCGACCATCATCTGCTGGTCGGAGCTCGAAGCTTTCTTTCTGAAACGGGTTGTGGTATGATGACTTTATTCTCGTAATATTGCAACTTTGTTCTCGCAATATTACAACTTTATTCTCGAAATAAAAAAGTTTAAAAAAAATCTCAAACCTCGCCTGATACTCCATCAAACGATTGGACCTTGGTTTCAGCATTAGTTAGTTACCTGCATGCAAACCTGCTACAGTATCAAGGAGAAAGTCATCATTAGTAAAGGCCAACCCAACTTTGAGAAGCATTTGCTTAGTTTGCTTAGGCCTTGGGCTGACCCTGCATGTAACACCTAGAAATACAGTACCTAGTAATATGCTCCATCAGTCTGCTTTATAAAGAACAGAGTGATCTGTTTTAAAACCCATTAAATACTCACCAGAAAATGTGGCAACGTTGCTTTCTGGAAATATTTTTGACAGGAGTCTGGATAACAGTGGACGATGGACCAGAAGAAACCAATCAGAAGACCCAACATGATGACCACTGTCACAGTCACTGCGGTGGGCTCCTTCCATGCAGGAGCACCAGGAGCTGCAGGTGCATTGGGTTTAGATTTGTTTAAGACCTTTTATAAAATGATTATGTATAAATATTAAAAAAATTGAAATGATGCATTTTTCACTTTTAAAATTGTAACATTAACACTTATTTTCGTACTCATATTTTCCTAGGAACAACAGATTAATGTGATTCTCTTTTATTTTTCAGGTCAAAAGGAAGATATTTCATCAATAAATAAGTGCCGTCTTTCTGTGTGTACCTGTGATGGACACACAGTAGCTGTCCGTGTATCCACTGTGCATGTCTGACTTGAGGAAAACCTGAGCCTTGACACAGTACACTGCTCCCTCCTGCAGGGCGGCGAAATGCAACACCTCCTGGTCTGCTGCCATCAAACTGACAGAAGCCTGAAGAAACAGCAACACAGGTGCAGAGGTGTCAAAAGTATTCATTTTTATTACTTAATTAGAAATATAAATCCTACTGTTTAAAAAACTATTTTGTAGAAATTAGAGTACTAACTTAGACTTTTTACTCAAGTAAAAGTTTAAAAGTAGTATTTTTAAATGTACTTAAAGAATAAAAGTAAAAGTAATGCAGGACAAAATGTAAAAGAAAAACAATGGTTACTGCACTACTCTATTAAAGGAACATGTTTCTATAATTCTTGATGATAACTTCTTTATACTTAAGTTTCGTAGTTTTATAACTAATGGCAACAGTGTCAAATTTAACCTTGCCCAATCTTAAAAGACTATCCATTTTGGTATGTAGCGAACAACAAGTCGGTGCAGCACCGACTCCAACCAGAAAGAAATTGTTTGGATAAAACAAATGATATTCATGTTTTTTCTTTTTTTATTACAAACAGGCCATTATGAAAAGGAGGTAAAATGAAGCAAAACTAGTAAGTCTATTTTTAAAATGTAAGGAGAAGAAAGAAGAGATAATTGGGAAAAAAAATGTAAGGAGTAGAAGTAAAATGTTGTATAGAAAATTTTTACTCCAGTGAACTTTTTAAGTATGGTAACAAAGTATTTGTACTTTGTAACTTGACATCTCTTCCAGTGGTGGCCAGCCCATAGGGGGCGCTGGGGCCCCGCCCTCCCTGATAAGAAGAG